ATAGTTATGTATCTAAGAAATTGGATGTGTGTATATAAGCTTTAGTGAATATAATTTGAAAAGGCGACGGCGTTTAAGAATATATAACCTAAATATACATATTTTAAAGTAAGGGCTTCTTTGGACGAATGTATTATCAGGCATTCTTCAAGCGCTCAGTGAAGATTTGCCTAATGTTTAAAATACGCATATTATAAGACTAATAATTTAGCTAACGGTTTAAATTGGTGAAAAGCATATAGTAACCTTAACCAAACTTGAAAGATATAAATGGACAACGTAGCAGTGAATTTTTCCCAGAAACATGCTAATCACTTACAGCAATAAACAACTGTGATTAAGATTTGCTGTAATACGGCCATGACCTTCTGCGTAAGTTGAATTTGTGAAACTTCCGTAGAAAATGTAATATTTTTCCAAATTCATTGAATTTTTTCGGAGTGTGTTATGAACACTGAAACCTTAAATACTCCAAATAGATTGTATTGCAAACTGTAGAGCTATTGTGAATAAACAAATGAAGAAATTCACACATAAAACAGTAACATATAAACACTGCTATTCGAGATAGCTCTGAGGAATGACAGATACAATACCCCAAATACCCTGCCCTTTGCAATGTATAATATCTACATCCACTAGATGTAACGAAAAAGCTTCCTGTTAAAAAAATAAAGATTGATTTATATTATTTTTAGTAGTAAAATCGAGTAGAGTTCTTTAAGTAGTTATTTTAATACTTTTCTTCTGTGTTTAAAAGTATTCACATTTACAGAAGACAAATAACAATGCAATTAAACCCTCGCATAGTAAGATGTCTGTCGATAAAAAGTAATTGCAAACATGCCGTATTAAGCGTGGCTTTATTATATTTTGTTTTGTTTTTGATGAGGGTTAGTCCAGGGCTTATTAAGTAATGTATCGGTATCAAAAATATGTATCACGTTTATATCAATGAAAATTTATGAAAATATATTATTTCTTTTCAATTATGCTGCATTGTTTCAGGATGGGCAAGTGACAGTGGAAGAGTTCAAACAGGCTGTTCAGAATGCTTGCTTTGGTAAGACATTTGATAACTTTCCTGAGTCACTCAAGTACGCCATAACTTCCAAATTCAACACTACAGATAACAATGGTAAGGAAACATTGGATTATTTTGGTGTTTTCCACGTTTGCAAACCAATCATTTTTTTAGATTATGGATTTATTGCATCTGTCCACATTTTTGGCAGCTATGTTCATGATTTATTTCCAGTAATAATATTATATATATATATATATATTATTTTTTTATATATATATACCTGAAGGTTTTTACTGTTATTACATTAAATACTTAACTGATTGAAATTCTGTTTATAATAATTTATTTCACTCATATATAAATAACTATAGATGCAAAAAAAAAGGAGCGAGTAAAGGTACTCAGCTGGATGAAGTGGGCCTGTTTTTGAAAAAGAAAAAAAATCTACGTGCAAACAATAAAACTCAGTGCCGATGAGTACGGGCAGAATGGCCTCCCAGTGGCACAGCGGTATCTCAGCGGACTTACAACGCTAGAAACCGGGTTTCGATACCCGTGATGGGCAGAGAATAGACAGCCCATAGTGTAGCTTTGTGCTTAATTGCAAACAAAGAAACAAGAACCGGCAGAATTTCATCCCCAGAATACACCATGTTACGTATGCACATGCGTAAAGTATATGTATTTTATTTAGTTAAATAGATCCTAGGACTATTTCCCTTCAATGCCAGGTTGGGTATTATGCTTGTAACAAACTAATACATCGCTGAACATAAGAAATCTTAAATTTTATTAAATTTTCCAAATTTGGCTGTCATTATACTTTTTGTTTTCTTTTTCATCTTTCAGAGGACGGATTGATAACTTTGGAAGAATACCGTTTAGACTGCGTCTCTCGGACAGCCATTGGTAGCGTTGCAGAGATAGACGAATGTTTTGAAAAACTGCTTAATGTTAGTATTAATAAAGACAAATTTCCACTAGTTACTTCTAGAGAAGCTGAATACTTAAACAATGCAGGTGCAAGAAATCAAAGCATTTACAAACATGTAACTTGTATGGTAACTGTACATTTCAATCTTGATTTTTTTTCTTTCAGTTTCCTTTAAGATTTGTCATGACCGACATAAAAAACGTTTTGTGTATGAATTCGTGATTCAGTTCTAGCTATAGATCTTATTTAAACCTGTAATGGATATTATAAAAGAAAGACATGTATATATAAAAATATCAGACAATAATAGCCCAAGATGAATGTTATTTACTACTTGCCTCCCTCTTTAGTTTAGCAGCTCATAATTAGGGATAGCTAAGAGCTGATAGCTCTTTTATACCTTTGCGTGAAATTCTAAAATTAACCAATCTATTTTTGTTTTAGCGACAAGTAAGAAAACTGAGCATCGCAGTTTCTAGTCTTAAATGTAATACAAAAAAAAAAAAAATCAGTAGATTCAACCCAAACTAAGTAACTGGAATTACACTAGTTTGAATCCTTACCATTATATTTTATACTAGGTTTATTTAACCCTATCTCTACGGGTCATCCTATGGTCGAAGGCCATGTCATCGCGTTTGTAGACTCAGATTCAAAATTTTATTCAACTATTTTATGAATGTATGTCAATACGTTTGGTATCAAATTGTGGATTGTAATACAAGTGTTAGTATTATACACAAGTTAATTTCTTAACTTAAAATTTAGAAAAAAACAAAAAAAAACACCTAAATATCGATTTTTGCGAGTCACTTGGTATGTTGAATGCAGCATTGGTTTGTGATGTTAAAATGTATATGTATCTTCACGAAATTTGCAGATTATCAGTAAACGTTGCAAGGCATTCGTACACAAAGTATCAAATTTTTTAATTAACTTTAAAAAATTTTTTTATTAATTAATTGCTCGTGCATTTTTTTCGAATGTTGACTGTGCAAATTAATTGATTTTAAAATTAAAAATACTTTTATAGATCAGAAAATTATCAAATTTCACATGCGAAATCTCTATGGTCTTCTACTAGCCTCCAAATAATTATCAAGTTTTTTAGAATAAATCTTTATATTTTATCTGTTATTTTCACTATTGTATCTCTGTATGGGTTTGGCTGATTCGTCCGACCTCGTAACTACCAATAAAAAATTAGGAAATAGATATAAATTAAGTTTTCTTTGTTCTAGAATTAATAAAAATTATAACACGAAACCACGGATGTTTAGTCTAAATAGCTTAAATCTTAAAAAATATATACATATATAAAAAGTTATTTTATTAAACTTTCAGTTGTTATTATTTTTTTTTATTAAGCACAAAGCTAGACAAAGGGCTATCTGTGCTCTTCCCATCACGGGTCATCGAAACTCAGTTTTTTAGCAGTACAAGTCCGCAGACATACTGCTGTGCCACTGGGGTGTATTAACCTTTCGGCACTGTCTGACTAACATTATAAAAGTTGAATGACGCTGTGTATCCAATAATATAAATCTGGCCTTTACAAAGTAACCAGTCATGACTATGTTCTAGTGGTCTAGTATTTTGCAAAATACAATGACATTTAGGCTATAATACACTATATGTATTATTAATATTTACAAATAAATTGTTAAATTTCAGTTATTTTTCTTAAAACATAGAACAGTACATAAAGAAGTATAGTGTTGCGTCAGCGAGTCACATGACTACTGTGACGCCACGTTTCTAGAACTATCCTGTACCTTGGCGAATGCTGTAATATTTACTAGATATAGGGTAGCCTGGTATATATAAAAGAGGGTGACAACGTGACGAAATAATGTAATGTGTGTGTGTGTAGATAGTGAGTAATTGAACTGCGGTCAGAGAGAGACGTATTGTTGAAGTTAACGTTCGTTCGTTATATTGTTTGTTTTAGCGCGAATATTGAAATTAAGTGTATCGTAAAGTTATATTCGGAAAGAATAAACCAGTTTTATTAAGTAAGGACTTGTGTCGCTAAAGTTTCGTCGGAACGAATTTACGGGAAATTTATTAACAAACGGAGACGTAACAAATTGGTGTCAGAGAGTGGGACGGAAAAGAAGAAAAAGAGAAGATGGAAATGAGAAGCGGCAAATCAAACTACACTTTAGCAGATTTGATGGCAGCAATACAAGAACAGCAAAAGAAACAAGAAGAGAGACAACAGCAGTTGCAAGAAAACTTGCAACAATGGCAGCTCGAACAACAAAATAAACAAGAAAAGAAACAAGAAGAGAAACAACAGTTGCAAGAAAACCTGCAACAGTGGCAACTCGAACAGCAAAATAAACAAGAAGAGAAATTGCAGTTGCAAGAAAACCTGCAACAGTGGCAACTCGAACAGCAAAATAAACAAGAAGAGAA